CACTCAAGTAGGTCAAGTCTAGTATACATGTCCTAAGTGTAAACGCGGTGTTTAACATGTTGAAAAATTTATTTTTATATTTCTTTTTATTTTACATTACTTTTAAAATAATGAATGCTAATTTCCCGCTTTTCGTGAGTTCATAGTCGACAAACAATGTCAAAATTTTTAAGAGTTGTTTTCATTACAAATTGTAATTTACTTAATTCCTTGTGCTAAGTGGTTACGCTTTCATCTTGCTTCGATACTGGTCGAACAAAGATCAATTAACGAGGCCAAAATCGGTAATATTTTTATGATAGAGAAAGGGAGAATAATCAGCACAATTTTTTTAGCCTTTTAGATATCTAGTTATGTACCCTTAATTATGCATTAATCATAAAGTAATTTTTAAACAGTAAATAACATAAAAAAGTGGTTACTGTTTTAGACTGAACATGATAGTAATAAAATTACTGAGAGAGTATGTTTCATGGGTGACATTTTTATTTATCAGGATATAAAATTATGTACATACACATTTCTATATAATTACTGTAGGTTTAAGAGTTTTCAGTTTGCTTAATTAATATATATTCAAGTTTTAAAACCACATTTAATGTTATTGTAGCATTATCGTAAGATCTTGTAATATTGCAATCTAAACAAACAAAATACTTACCAATTGCAAATATGACACCTTACTAAACATAAATCTTTTTTAATTTTTTAATAAAAATATTTTAAAATGTACAAAACTATCTTGGATATCCATCCCAAATCTCATAAACTCATTTCACGGCTGAGTAAAATACCTGACCTAAATTGACAATATATCTCTATAAGTAGAGTATAAAGAAACTCGTAAACGCTGGTCTGTAATAACACGTAATTTTTACTTTCTGTTAACAGAGCTCTAAAGGCATATCAATGATGTATCTGTTTGTATGGTACTTTTCATGGGATGTTTGTGCTGTAAGCTTACCATACAATCTCACTCTAAAAATACAAGTAACTAAATGGTATGCACATGCGGCATTAGAATTTAATTAAAAGTGTTTATTACATTGTTAATTTTTGTCACTAAAAAAGTTTTATAAGATGTATTAATCTACTTGATTTAAAATGTAATGGCAAATGGAGGCACTGGTACCCTTGATAATGGTGCTTTTGATAATCAAACAAGACATCCCTTTTTACTTTCTCGTATATACGAAGTATAGAGAAAGTCTTGTAATCGTGCAAAAAAAAAAAATCGAGATTTTTACAAATCTCGACGTTTTACACCTCACTGATACGGAAAAACATAATTTTGCAATCTTGTCCGTATGTCTGTGTGTCTGTCTGTGTGTCTGTCTGTGTGTCTGTCTGTCTGTCCGTGTGTAAAAACGATAACTTGAGTACCGTTACAGCTACGTTGATGAAATTTCATATATAAGTATTTTATCAAAATCGTAGATCCGTATCAACTTTTGAGCGATTTCCGATAACCGGAAGTGGTACTTTTCCTACTTTGAATTTTTCAAAAGCCTATAACTTGAGTACTATTTCAGATAGATAAATGAAATTTCACATGTAAGTAAAAGATCTAATTCTCTACCTTCTGTTAAATTTTGAGTAATTTCCGTTGACTGGAAGTAGTAATTTACGCTACTTCCGATTTCTCAAAAAACTAATGTAAATTTTAAAAGTACTAATAATATTGCGCACCATTATGCGCTTTTTTATTTGGCGTTCACTTGGTGTGCAATTAATTTGTCTACGAGATTTTATTCTATTTTTTAAACTTAAAGTATTTAAAATGGATTAAAAATCATGTCTATAGCCCGAGTTCCCATCCCCTGTTATTTTATATAAGAATATTCGAGAAAGTTTAGGGGAGATCACTCCCGGTTTATTTAGAAGGATATTTGCATATTGCTGATGTTCTCCAGTATGTACAATGGCAAAGGCTTTCTTAGCTCTCTCAGAAAAATCAAATCTCTCAACATACTGTATTTGCACCTTTTTCTTTTCTGCAGCATCTAAGATTACTTGATACTTATCCCAGTGTTTTCAGACCTTTCTCTTTATCAAAGCCAACTAAGGCTATTCTGGCAACAGGTTAACCCAATACTGGTCCAAGGGAAACAACTGCATTATAGCTTCTAGTAATACAGTAGCACTAAGTACATCGGCTCTTATTTGTTTATGACCATGAGAACAAATTGAAGCAGAAAGAAAATTAATGTCAGCTAAAAATATTTCATCCCCGTGTCCCATCTCAGCCAATGTTTTGATTAATTCGGGTGACAGCTGATTTGGAATCCCTTTTAGAGGCATTTTCGTTGTATTCGGATTTAGTTTTTATGTACAATAACGGCTGGTTTAAGTATAATCAAAACAGAATGATCAAGGTGAGCAGCATACGAAGCTAGTAACAAATTGCAGGCTGCATGTATAGACCACTAAAAGTTACGTAATCCATGTGTATTAGATACGATGTTAGTAAAACAAATAAATGTTCCTAAACATACACTTATATTTTTTTACTGCTGAAATTATTATTTCATCTAATTATTCTGATCAGGCGTTATAGCTATAGAAGATTCTCGAATTTTATATCATAGGAAAACATGTGTTCGTGGGGCAAGAAATGTTCTATAAGTCAAGACAGTAGATATTTCGTAAAATAGTAGATAGCGGTTGGACAAGAAGTAGATATTTTGTAAAGTAGTAGATAATTTGTGCGACAACACACTGTGAAGAATAGATGGAAAAACATTAGCATGAGTTGATTTAGCTAACGTTAACATTTTTTGTTGAGAAAAGAAAAACCTTGTGTTTAGATTTATTTTGTAAGTTACCAAAATTAAAATAACGCAAAACCAAAGATAAGAATTCAAGAAACACATTTTCATTATAACATAATCACATGCTTTTATTTCAGTGCACACTATTTTCTAAACATTTCAACTCCTCATTTAAGAGTTTTCTACGACGATGACTAATACATAATTCATTTGTATATCTTAAGCTCTAGTAAATACACACCAGCTGTCAATGATACCAGATAACAAAGAAAATATGTTAGAGAATAACATTCTTGTTAACATTAAAGTAAGAATAGAAAAACAAAATTAGTATATTAAATTCTTAAACATGCAATGTGCTAAAGCAAGTTAAGTTTCTATTTTAAATGAATTTTTGAAATGAGAAAATGAAATAATAGAACTTTAAGTTGAAATCCATAAGTCAGGGTCTGACCATTAAAGACGCTGTAATTTCATGTTGATGAGTTGAAGCGTTCGTAATTTTTTAATATACAGTACCAGGTAAAGATTTATTTGCTTTTTACACTATTGCGGTTTTGCACATAATGATAATTGTAGACATAATATTTGCCTTTGTACAGTTCACGCATTTAAATGTTTGTTTATTTTTACGATTAGATTGTATGATCGATGATACACGTAGTAAAACTGCCTTTTCAAACCTAAAGATTCTTAGGGCAGATGAGTAGAGTTTTTATGTTTCTTGATCTCGGAATATGAGTGAATGGTGTTGTCAGCACTACGCCCAGCGTTCTTTACTTTTCCCAAAGTGAGTCAGGTACCCATTAGAGCTGGATGGACTCAGAGACGTGTGCTCTCTGTGACAGTAAAATCATTCACCGCCATTTTGTGTAACCCACACCCTCTACCTGTGTATTGCTCCCTCACCCCACAGTGCAGACAGCGACCTATGACCCGGCCGTTAGACTGTCCAGTTGGGGTCTAGTTGCGATAGCGACCAATCCCTGTGACTGAAAGGCTATGGGACAGGTCCTTTGCTGATGCCATATAAGGGCCGGTAATTAACATAATCTCTCTCTTACTCTTACTTTCCGCTAGATCTATTATAGTGGGTCTACCTGTGGTTGCGCCTATTGTGTGTGTGTGGGGGGGGGGGGGACGCTTCACGTGTTTAAGAGTCCATCGGACTACTATAGGTACGCTTTGGGCTTTGTATTTTAACTTAGTTCATTTTTATTTTAACGTATCATTTAAGTACTCACAATATGTATGATCAGTTTTAATTATAATAAATTCATTGCTTACTATTGCAGTTAACAGTCTTATTGTGTATTTTATTTTACTACGGGCTGTTAATTCTATGCATTGAATTGTCACTTAGTCATCGGACATGGTTACATTTTATTTGCCGGCTGTGAACCACTGCCAGAGTCTAATGATCATAGGACCTGGTTACATTTTATTTGCCGGCTGTGAACCACTGCCTGGGTCAAATGATCATCGGACCTGGTTACATTTTATTTGCCGGCTGTGAACCATTGCCAGAGTCTAATGATCATAGGATCTGGTTACATTTTATTTGCCGGCTGTGAACCATTGCCAGAGTCTAATGATCATAGGACCTGGTTATTACGGTTATCATTTTAAAGACTGTTAGTTGCATGAATTGAGTTGTAACGTTATCATCAGACTTCGTAAAACTAGTTACAATTAATTTACTTATTACTGTTGCTACTGAATGTTATTATTAACTTAAGCCTTATCCTGCCTGTGACTCAGTTCACAAGGGGGTGGTTATACATATATATTTTTCTACAATTATAAAATCTAATCAAGAATTAGTTCACGCGACAATCGCAGTACATATTATTAGTAGACATACTTTATTCCATGTAGTGAAGTGGCCCAGATCTCCCACCCCTTCATTGCACTATTTTACTTATTTTTATCAGTTAACACTGTAGAAGTGACATTCTACCGTTGCCTCTATACTGACTTTGATCCCGAGACCACCCCTTCAGGCTAGTCGCTAATGTGAATGCTCTGCAGAACGAAAAAGATTATTGTATTGTATTGACTACTGCATAAGGAAAAACAAGGCACCGTGTCAAAAATACAAGTATTAAAAATTACACAGTATTCATAAGACGAAACGGTTGTAAAAATTGTTGTTTTTTCAAATGCAACTATTTTAATATAAAACGAACATTTTAAACCTTATTTTACTATAATTTGTTTCTTGAAATATTATAGTCGACGTAGTTTCATCTCAACCTGTTCCAGAGAATCGGTATATTGTGTTATACCTTCCCAGATAATTCCTGCAGCAAAACGTTTACTTGCCCACACGCCGTTCATGTTCACCTGATGGCATTTGTTAAACCACCAGCCGCTCTCCCATGCCTGGGCGCAATGGCCTCCAGCATTTCCATCATTGTCTTTATCAAATGTGGAAAAAGCCATTCCATTGTGATAACTAAAGCTGACTGTAGTGTTGCCTGTCTTGTATGTAAACTTTATCCTATACAAATCTGCTTCATTTCCCACCGTCACATTACTGTATACCATGTAGTAGGATGTACCTTTATATTTCATTTCAAACCTCAGTTCATTGTAGCCCTGTGAACACAAATGATAACAGATTTATTTTTATTACTGGAGACATTCCGTGACTAAAATTATTTCTCCATCGACATATTCGTTGTAATACAATGCGTCTGATAACTACCTGACTCTTTCAGAGATACTTTAACACTAACCAACCTTTCAAACACTGATTTATAATTTTTTTTATAAAAAAATAAATACAAGAGCGACACACAACAATAAACACAAAACTACAAACATGTAACAGACCCTAGACCAAATAACACAAAGGCTCGTTAAAACATCTATTATAAAACTTGAATCCTCTATCTAAACTATACACAAACTAAACGAGAAAACACAGTCTATTCAAACACGTCTAACGACACAACAGACAAGAAAACACAAACCCTAGAATACAGCGGCAAACTAACATTCTACACCAGGGGTCGGCAACCTGCGGCTCGCGAGCCGCATGCGGCTCTTTTGCTGTCAAGATGCGGCTCTCTAGATCCATGCACAAATATCAATAGTTATATTATTTCATTTTCAAAATTCGCAGCAAGTATTTTACTGTAAAGAAACTCAACTTTAAACAAGATAAAAACACTCATCAGAAAACAGTGAGAATAGGTGCAGCAGAGAGTATACGGACAGCTGACAGCTGCTTGGGCGCCAAGCCCAGCCCTATAGCCATGCTGTATCCAGCCCCGTGGCAACAATTCCATGCTTGCCGCTGCAGAAGTGTCTTTTTTTAATATAGTTAAATGGGAAATGTTATTTTATTCAGAAAGCATGTCCTTATCTGTCAGTAATCATTAATTTGATTTCAGTGACGTTGTTTTTTTAGTTATTAGCTTCCTACTGTTGAGCAATTCGGGTGACAGCTGATTTGAAATCTTTTTTAGAGGCATTTTCGTAGTGTTGGGATTTAGTTTTTATGTACAATAACGGCTGGTTTAAGCATAATCAAAACAGAATGATCAAGGTGAGCAGCATACGAAGCTTATATGCAATTAGTTATAAGTTATAACTAATTGCAGGATGCATGTATAGACCACTAAAATACTAAAAGTTACGTAATCCATGTGTATTAGATACGATGTTAGTAAAACAAATAAATGTTCCTAGACACACACGCTTTTGATTTTTTATTGCTGAAATTATTATTTGATTAATTATTCTGAGCAGGCTTTATAGCTATAGAAGATTTTTTGTAATTTATATCATAGGAAAACGTGTGTTCGTAGGGCAAGAAATGTTCTGTTAGTCAAGACAGTAGATATTTCGTAAAATAGTAGATAGGTGGTTGGACAAGAAGTAGATATTTTGTAAAGTAGTACATAATTTGTACGACAACACAGTTTATACTTAAAGCAAAACAAAAGGTTTTTTTTTGTGAAGAACAGATGGAAAAACATTAGCATGAGGTGATTTAGCTAACTTTAACATTTTTTGTTGAGAAAAGAAAAACCTTGGTGTCTAGATTTATTTCGTAAGTTACCGAAATTAAAATAACGCAAAACCAAAGATAAGAATCAAGAAACACATTTTCATTATAATACTAGACAGGTCGGCGTGGTCGAGTCGGTAAAGTTGCTAAACCGAAAAGTCTCGAGTTCGAACCCTCGGGCAGATGAGGCTCGTTAGCTGGGGACAGCAACTTTTCTAGGAGAGACAACTCCGAAAATCAAACAACTGCTGCCTTGTAGTTTGTTCTTGGTTGGACAAAGGCTATGGAAGCAAATCCAAAAAGAAAAGCAGGTTGAAATCGGAGTCAATGGCCTCAATGGCGCATAACCAGTTGACACGTAATCCTTGATTGCGATGGAAGCATGATCGAGTCGGCAAAGCTCATGGTTGACAAATTCGAAAAAAAAAAGTCTCGAGTTCAAACCCTCAGGCAGATAAGGCTCGATCCCTCCCAACACTAAAAATTAAGAACGAAGATTAAGAAAGAAGAATAATACTAGACTACCCGTCATCCCTTGGATAACTGTGGGTTTCAAGTCTGTCACTTATCGTCACAAAAAGCCAGACCCCGCATTAAAAAAGACGTTATTTATCTTTTAAAAACAGCGATTTCGGCTGAGCATTGGTCTGACGACACTATCCTTTCACATACTGACATATTTTTAAACATTGACGTAATGTGTCTAGAACCCGTGCCACACGCACGAAAGCCTATTACACTAACAACTTAGCTATTTAGTCTCGTGACGTCACTGATGTTTTTTTTAATGGTATAGTTTAATACTTTGAGTCTCCATATGCAACTTGATTTACGCGCATAGGCCCTATCTAGATCTAGAAAATTCTATATCTAAGTCTAGTAACTTTCAAATTAAATTTTATCTTAAATAGCCGATTCCATAGCTAAACAAACAAAGATTTATATAAAATAATGAAGGTCTGAAATAGTTTAGTATAGAAACTTATAATTATATAGATCTAGATGGAATTATCTAGATTCTACGACTCGTTTGCTTAAGTATAGTTTTTGCGTAACTCTTGCTAGATCTAGATTAGACCTATTCTAGAACCAGATAGATAAATCACAAAGATTAATATCAAGTATTTAAGGACTAAAGTAGTTTAATAAAGGAACTCAAAAAATGTATTATGATTTTAAAATGGATTGTATTTTTAACTAATTAATCTTTGATTTGACCTAGATTCTAGATATAGATCTATAAATAACTTTCTTTGACAGATTGTAGAGCTAGAAAAACTTATTGAAAAACTAAATGAAAAAGTCAGTTGAAAATTTATAAACATATATATATATATATATATATATATATATATATATATATATATATATATATATATATATATATATATATATACATATATATATATATATATATATATATATATATATATATATATATATATATATATATATATGTATATATATATTTATTTATATATATTTTTCTATTTCTGCAACCCAGTGATATTTAATATTGTAGAAAGTGTAGTTAAGCACATATAAGTCAATGGAATAATGTTTTTATGGCCCACCATATTTCTTATGCTGTAGAATACCTGCAAAGTTTGCAGAAGTTTTAATTGAACAAGAAGCATCCTCCGGCGCCCCGGCAGGTTTGAGATTTGGCGTTTATAACACTTCTAATCATAAATAAAGCGTTAGTGATCTCCCCAACATTTGTGACAGATTCAAGATAATAAGATTTTATATCTATATATAAAATTTTGCTCCACGTTATCGGTATTTTAGAAACGAGAAATAGCGTAAAATACATTTCCGGTTATCAGAGGTCACTCACAATTTGAGAAAAATCTAAGTATAAGATCCATTATTTGGGGAGATGGACATGGAAGCAGTTTCCAAATTAATTGAAAAATGAAAATGGCGATATACGGGGCACGTGCTAAGAATGAATGAAATGAATTTAGAAGACATCGTAGGAATGGCGCTAGACTGGATGCCTCAAGGAAAAAGGAAGACATGGGGGACTGTCATGGGGGACTGGCAAGAAAATTGCCGGAGACCGACAAAAGTGCAGGGAGCTTTCTGTGGCGTCCAATGTGTTGGTCATAAAATGGAAAAGATTATGGACGATGTAATAAGATGCTAATATATAGAATTTCTTCTACACGAACTTAAACAGTAAAAGTAAAAGAGTTCACCCGGAAATAGAGTAAAGTAACACGTCAGTTTGATGAAAAGCATTTAAAAATTACAGAATACTGCGCATACAAATTAATATATGAAATTTCATCTACCTAACATTAACGGTTTTCTATTTATTGGCTTTTAAGAAACCAAAAGTTTAGAATGTACATTTTCCGGTAACTGAAAATCGCTCAAAAGTTGATATAGAACTACAAATTTGATATAATACTTATACTTGAAACTTCATCTAAGTAAACGAAACGGTACTTAAGCTATATTGTTTACAATCACAGACAGAATTATAAAACAGCAAAAACTGTCAGAATATCGTATAATTATTCAGCACAATTACAATATTTTCTCTATAATCTGTTTCCGAGAAAGTTAACAGATGAAGATATTTTCTTATCATCGTCTTTTTTTACAAGATCTTTTCAGAAATTGAGATTACGCGTCTGAAAAAAAACACTATTATTAAAGTGAACGAGTATATGTGTTGTGAAATGTTTTGTATAAATAAAAGATGGTGAGTTTATAACGCAGTTAGAAAGAATGTGAATTTTTAGTGTGGTATCATTGTTGCTGGGGATGAAGATTAGTGAGAAGATACAACATCTACTATAATCGTTCACTAAATCGACCGTGTGGTCCTCCGGCGCCTTAGGATGTGTGCATTTAATTCATCTTGTAATCTAACGTTTAAATTAACTTAAAGTGCAAAGAACAAAAACAAGCTACATTTTTTTATCCTTCTCAAAAATAGTAACTTATTCTGAAAAAAAAACTAACTTCTTCCCTTTAGATGTAATAAAGATTGAAATTACATTAGAAATAAAGCGGGAGTGATCTCCTCTAAAGTTTTTTTAATATGCTCATAAAACACTACAAGGAATGGCAACTTCAGTGTAATCGGGATATGGACATGAGGCGGAACTACCATGTTGCCATCCTTGACTTATTCCCCTTCTTTAAATAGTCTAATAGGGGTGCCTATTAAGCTCCTTTAAAAGTTTTGTATAAGTAAATTAAAAAACAATTGCTTCTCTTAATTATTATTATTATGAACAGCAATATTGTTTGTAATATAGATATTAATTTGAAACTTAATATATCCCCCCCCCCCCCCATAAAAAAACCCCGAAATAACGCGGCAATATAATACTTAGTATTACGGTGATAATAAAAATAAAACTCGAAATTTTTCTTGAAGATATCTATCTATCTATCTATCTATATACTACTAAAAGTCAAGTTTGTTTACATGTTTGAATATTTATTTGTTTGCCTGATCGAAAATTGTGATATGTTCGACTCTATCTGGAAAGCTGTAAAATGGTATGCAGGTAGAGAATAATTTTTTAATGCAGACAGACTGTTGATCACAAATTTATTTAAAGACGTTAATTAATTTATTGATTTATTCCTACGCAGAATAACCCATTTTTTTTTAAAATGTTAAAACCTTGACTAAACTTTGTGGGAATAGTGACGTCACAGGTTTTTGTTTACTCTTTAGTACAATAAAATGGCGGCGTCTATTGAAGAAAATTGTGTTCCCATTCAAAAGTTTAACGCGTTCTAAATCTAATTTTCTGTCGGTCATAACTTTAACAATACGTCCGTTTGCTGTATTTATTACGTCCCAACACTTATATCAATTTTAAACTGTCTTTTTTCATTTAGTTTTTCAATAAATTTCTCTAGATCTAAAGATCAGCTGTCGAAGGAAAGTTATTTATAGATCTAGATCTAGAATCTAGGTCAAATCAAATCTAATTTTCTGTCGGTCATAACTTTAACAATACGTCCGTTTGCTGTATTTATTACGTTCCAACACTTATATCAATTTTCAACTGTCTTTTTCATTTAGTTTTACGATAAATTTCTCTAGATCTACAATCTGTCCAAGAAAGTTATTTATTTATTTATAGATCTAGATCTAGAATCTAGGTCAAATCAAATATTTATTGATTATAAATACAATCCAAAAAAAAAGAGACTTAAGCAAACCAGTCGTAGATCTAGAATATAGATAATTCTATTCTATCTAGATTTAGATAATAGTGATTTTCTATATACTAAACTATTTTAGACCTTTATTATTTTATATAAATCTTTGTTTGGAATATGGTAATTTTGAAATGCTCGCTCCGGGCCCATCAGCGTAGCTAATGATTAGATCTAGATCTAGATTCTAGATCTAGCAAGAAAAACTAAACTTAAGACTTAAGCAAACGAGTCGTAGAATCTAGATCTAGATAATTCTATCTAGATCTAGATAATTTCAGACCTTCTTTATTTTATATAAATCTTTGTTTGTATAGCTATGAAATATGCTAATTAGGAAATGCTCGCTCCATGGCCTCTATTTGCATAATTTAAGATTTATACGCGGCTTCTATACTGCTAATTTTGCAAAATTATGAACGTAAACTCTAGATATAGCTCAGTCGTAGATCTAGAATATATCTCATTATGTATGATAGCTATGTACCATTGTTTCTTTATTCCACATTTTCAGTGCTATGTGTTACTGCTATGTGTTATTGAATTGCTTTATTTGTTTAAACGGCCAATGTGAAAAAAGGCCTTTGTGCCTACAATTGTAACCGTTGTTTGAATAAATTTGAATAAATTTGAAATTTGATAATTCTATCTAGATTTAGATAATAATAAGTTTCTATGGAATTGGCTAATTTAAGATAAAATTTAATTTGAAAGTTAGTACTACTATACCTAGATCTAGAATCTATGCGCTTAAATCAAGTTGCATAAGTATAGTATAAAAATTCACTTGTGACGTCACGTGTAAATAGCTAAGTTGGTAGCGTAGCCTGCTCTCATGTGGGTGGCACAGGTTCTAGACCAATATGTCAATGATATATTTTTTTTTTTAGATGTGAATGATAAAGTTGCCTATCTGAACTTGGAAGGATACAAGGCAGGTGAAGTAGAGTTCATCTGTTTCTTTGTCCTAAGCATATGAAAGGATAGTGTGGTCAGAGACATGCTCGGCTGGAATCGTTTTTTAAACGATAAAAACATGTTGTCTGAGACTTGGCGGGACACTGGGCAGGTGAAGTAGAGTTGAGTAGGTCACATGTGACGTCAGTATATGAAGGGATAGTCCGAAATCGGTGTTTTCGGTGTTTTTAAAAGATAAGAAACATATTTTTGAATGTGGGATCTGTTTTTTGTGACGATAAGTGACACTGCAGTAGCGTAGCGAGGAAGGGGGGGGGGGGCGGGAGGGGGAGGGGAGGCGGGGGGGGGGAGGGGAGGTGGAGGGGGAAGGGGGGCGCGTGGGGGGACATATGTTGGGGCGCCAAAATGGTTTGGAAAAATAAATTGAAAGGTTGAGGGGGGGTGCAAATCGAAAGTTTGAATGGGGGGGTGCACATCAAAAGTTTGAGGGGGGGGGGGTGCAAATCGAAATCTTGCGGGGGGGGGGGGTTCAAATCGAAAAGTTTGTCCCCGGGCGCCGGGAAGGGTCGCTATGCCTCTGAGTGACAGACGTGATGTTTTTTGATGGATGACCCCCGAAACCCACAGTTATCCAACGGATGACGGGTAGTCTAGTTTGTATTTAAAAATGTGCATGGAAATTGGTATAAAAATTACCTAGCATTTTATCAACTGGGTACCTAAGATTTTTTAAATGTCACGTTTATTAAACTAAACAACTTAGCTTTGGGCTTCTAGATGTGTAAATTTATTAAAGGTGCAGCTAAATACAAGACAGATATTTAAACAAAAAAGAGAATTTTCTTTAAGTCAAATTAACGATTTATCATTTTGTTTCATTCTCAGTAGTATGAATCTGAAAATATGTGTGTAGTAATTAACTTAAATTTCGGGTTCAATATTTATGTTTATTTATTTCTGCATTTATGTTTGTTATTTGGTATAATGTATAGAAATCTGAGCAAGATACAAACCTTGTTGTTTGTACGTATCTGTTTTGCTTTACCTCAAAATTCCGTTTAAACATGGTGTATTCGATTCACCAGTTCTTATAATTTGGTAAATGTATATTGCACAATTTAAAAACAATATATATATATGTTAATTTTGTTTACTTATCAATAAACAAAGTTTTTAATACCCAGTAGCGCTCGATATAAATGTTTTTCGGCCTAACAGTTACCCGCACCTTGGTTGTAATGATTTGCTAAGGTAAGGTACTAGTTTTTTTTAAAGAAAGTTCAAACATTAACTTGCATTTTGTGTGAGGTATGAGATCCAGTCATTTCCCAGCCAATAATCTCCAGCCAAAGATCCAAAACCTTTTTTGTAGTCGCTCCAGTTTCTGGTGAAATTTACGTCACCCTTAACACGCCTCTATAAGAATAAATAATTGCAGCATCTCTGCCAGTAAATGGTATTAAATACTCTAATTTATCAATATACACAGCATAGTCCTTTTTAATCTGTTATGGATTTTTCTGTTTACTATTTGGAACTTAAATTTTTTTTTAAAGTTTGGGGAATAAAACAAATAAGTAGTCTAAAAGTGGAATGTGAATAACATTTGTATTTTAATTAAAGCCAGTAAGAAACAAATATTGTTAAGAAAATCAATTTAAACATTTATATGAATTTAAAAAATATAAATCTTACCTGTATAATGACCCATCCTCCCCCATCTGTTTTGGTATCACACAAGGCAATTTTAGTTTCATTTAAGTTAGTAATAATTCGGTCAGGTAGACTTGGGCGATAGCTACGGACACACTGGGTAGAAGATGATTAATGAAAGTTATTAAAAGAAAACAGGAAAATACAATGCCATTTTAAAAATTATAATTAATTCTCATTTGTTTCCGTTTCCCTCTATTATTCATTTTCAATTATGTACACTGACTGCTAAATAAAGGATGTTTTATCAAAGGTGATATTCATTGAACCTTTTGAAGTCCGATTATAATTACTTTCATTCTCTTAAACATTTTAGAACGTTAGGTTTGTTGGCATTTCGGTATTGAACTAATGACGTTATATTAAACGCTAGTTTTACTTGATGTACCAAACCGACTAATGAAAATACATCTTTTCTAATGCTACGAAAGTCATGTAATATTTAGGTCGTCACTCCCCGTAGATTAAAACATCCAACTAAAATTGAGCATTATTTCGCAAAAGCTATAAGAGTCCTATTATTACTAAACATTTGTATTCCAAGTAGGATAAAACACTTTTTTAAAAATAAATAGTCCAGATAAACAATTGATATTTATCAATATTTTAAATAATTTAAGGATGGTTAAAAATGTCAAAATAAAAATATAAAATGTATCATACCATATGATTGTATTCGTCTAAAAATGTGTGCATTGTCTTGTTGATATCGTACATCATGTTCAAAGTTGTATTAAAATCCTCCCGTGTTTCAGTTTTCTTTAGCTTTTCTTCCATCTGAGCAAATTTTAAATTCCATTGTTCTATTTGTTTTTGTGTGCCTGCGGTGATTGTTTGAACGGATTTATTTAAAGAGGTCAACGTTTCCTGGTCTAATTTGTGTGTCTCGATATAAGACGAAATTCTTTTATCAATTTCTTTCTCTACTTTCGTTGCAATTTTATGTTCCATGTGTTGTAACGTTTCGTTAAAATTCAATGTTAGATTTCCTATTTTATAATCTAACATGCCCTGAGAGTTTCCTTTATCCAGTTTTTGTGTCTCAATATAAGGCAAAATTATTTTATTAACTTCTTTCTCCATTGCAGTTGTGATTTTATTTTCCATTTGATGTAATGTTTCGTTAAAATCCGCTGTTAAATTCTTTATCTTATCATCCATTATGTCCTCAATTTTAGAAGAACTGATCTGTTTGAAAATGTGATTTAACTCTGTTTCTGTTTGACCAAAACTTTTGTCTGTGCTGAACTTATCGCCACCAGAATGTGACATCTGTAATGACACTGTCATGTCTGCACCTTTCAGCCTGTCTGGGTCTTCAAACGATTTGAGAAAATCGGCCATTGTATCAACTGATTTAACATATTCAGATGTTTTAGCTTTCAAGTTCATTATTATAAAAGATTCACGTGATTTTCTTTGCAAACTGTTCGTCTCTTTCCCAATTCTATCAACTGATCTTGTGGTATTCACATAATGTATTTCACAAAGGAAAACGCCATCATTGCAGTCTGAATGATTCGAGAAAAAAATATTCAATTCAGAAAATGTTTTCGATATTTTCCCATCTACTCTTGTTCCAGTCCTTTTATAATCTTGAAGCTTTGAATCTGATTCTGAAATAGACGCCAACAAAATCTTCCCCTCTGGTTCACTGATCCTATAGACTGACATGTTGACAAGAGCTGAAATCTGAGTGTCTTCTCTTATGTTTTCTGTACACTGGAGTTGTCCACAAAATAAATTCTTGCCGTGGTAAAAATATTCTCTGCTCATGTCAATTTTTAGACCTACAATTAGAGAAGCTTTCTTAAAATAAAATAAAAATTATAGTGTTTAAATTTATCAGATTTTTAGATGCCTCAAATGTCTTTCTACAATATCGACTAATATTTCTAAAAAAATATTATAGTTATGGAGTCTAAATGTTTCTAATCTACTATGGTAATATTTATTTTAACAATCGTTTAACAATTGTTTAAAGAGCTGATTATTAAAATATATAAACTTACTTTATTAGGGATGGGCACACATTACATTCGTAAATATTGTTCATATTTTACACAAAACTAATGCTGCTTTATTTAACTTGCTTTTGTCGTCCAAAATGCTTTGTCCGTGCGTAATGAGTTAAAATTAAATTTTCCCATTTCTTAAAAAACATTTCTTTATAGCAGCCTGCTTGTTTTTGCCATTCGAATTTCTTAATATTAAAAAGTGAAGAACGCAAAAAAAATTCTAAAAATGTTTATAATAAAAAAAAAGATAAAATTATCTTCCTAAAAATAGTAATTGATCATTATTTATATAGCTTAAGAATAATGGCTGGGTTAATAAAAGTTTGGTAAAATAATTCAGTTGCAAGAAATATAAATAATTAAAGCATTTTCAAATTTTTCTCTATATATTTTGCTATTTTTTGCCTACGTATCACCACCCTAAATGGTGTCACCCGCCCCCCTCCCCCTCGCTACGCCTCTGGTCAAGAGACAACCTACCCTGAGTCGGAATAACGTAGTTTTGTAATTGTATGTATGTCTGTGTATTTGTGTTTGTCTGTGAACACGATAACTTCAGTATCGTTTCAGTTAGGTTAAAGAAATTTCAGAAAGAAGAATTATGTCAAATTTAAAGCCCTTTTCAACTTTTGAGTGATTTCCGGTAACCGGAAGTGATACTTCCTCTATTTCCGGTTTCGCAAAAGCCAATAACTTGAGAACCGTTTGTGTTAGGTATACGCAATTTCACGTATAAGTATTTCATTGTATACGCAGGTTTTTATCAAATATCTATATATATAATTCTCTTCTGGGAGCCGCTAGAAAACAAGCTGCAAACGCGCCTAGAAAACAAGCTGTAAACGCGCTCCCTACCTCCCCACCCCTACATGGTTTTAGTGAGCTGTGTTCACTCTAAATGTTTACAAGCAGAGCCAACGATTTAAAACGTAGGGTGGGGGGAAGGAAGAGGGGGGGGGGTTATGGTCCTTAACGAGCTACTTATAGTGTTTTAAAGAAATATTTTCAGTGGCAGCGTTGGTACTGTCGAATTCACAAATTTTGAATTACTGAAAAGTAGAAAAAACAACAACTAAATAGCGGCGTATGTTATGCCGCGGGCCGGCTCGTTATACGATATTTGGTAAAGAAAATGGTACTTTTCGCCGTAGGAACACGATAACATGAGATGTCTCATTCAGTGGCGTAACGGGGAAAACAGCGGGTAGGGCGACGCCCAGGGTACCGACCTGAGGTGCGCCAAACGGGGTTGAAAAATATAATTAAAAGGCTGATTTTGAGCTACATTACTAAATTATACACCGTCGAAGTTAATAAAATAAACTGCTACTTGGCTTTATGGACTGTGTTACATTTACTACAACAGACACAGTTTCTTCAGTTAACCTTGATGATTTATTACACTAGACAACATAATTTTTATTATATATTTGTTTTCCTAGACAACATAGATGACACTACTTGTCTCTAGGCCTGTCTGCAGTTAACTAACGCACAGCTACACATCCGCTACACGGTAAACACTCAAGGGACGTAACCATAATATACACAATACAAGGGACGTAATAAATCACAAGACATAACGTAACAGACTGTTTTGTACGTTAGTTGTGTGAAACTATAATAAAAACTTTTACGGGACAGCAAAAGTAAAAAGCGCTCCGGGGGGATGGGGGTGTGGGTAGGGGTTGATAACGTGACTAAATATATAAATGGTAGGGGTACGTAAAATGTATAGTTCGCTTCGCGCGCCGGAATGTGTAACTACGCCTCTGGTCACATTTAGGTAACTAAAATTTCATATATAAGTTGCTTCCGATATTCGGAAGTGATACTTTATTTCTTTTTTTCTAAAATATCGACACTTATTTACACTTACGACATGTTCCTAGAACACAAAGCCCGTCAAAAGTTTATTTTATCTGAAAACATTTTCTTCACAGAACATGTATACCTTAGCGTTTACACTTACAGAATGTTATATATTATTTTATGAAACAAACAAGACTTTTGATCTGAAGCGTCCGCTATGTAGGTCTATATAAAAAAAGAAAGCGTTATCAAAGTATGAAAAAAGGTAGATAGTGGGCAAGCAGCTTTATTTTTTAAAAGAAAATTGTGTGGCTATGGTGCTAACAATTCAACAATAAATTATCTAAAAGATAGAGAACATTCAAGTTTTTAGAAATTTTATTGGAGTGTCAGCAACTGAGCCTGACAATTTTTGTAATGCTGTGTATAATAGCAAGGGTTGTAAACATTGCCCACCTGTTGTTCGTTATAGAAAAAAAGACACAGGAAAATACACAGGATAAAAGTCATAGTTTTTGCTAGGAAAAAAAGTCACAGACAAAAGGCACAAAGGAAATATGTAAACGGGAAAAAAGTGACAAAAACCTTTTAAGAAATATTTTTATTTCAAATTGTAAAATTGTGGTTATTTATTGGTGTGGGTTGAGTTATTTTTGTTGGATATTTATAAACGTTAAAAGCATTATGATTTACAATAATAATAAGTAAAAATACTATAAGATAATGTACAAAGAACCGTCAACTTTTCTTACGTATTTAGTTAAACGTGGTAGATACATTAATTATAGCTTCAAAATTTAAATGCCTTACGCATTACAACTTAAAATGTGTTTAAGAAATAATAGGTAATTATTAAACAAATGTAATTTTTAGTTGGGCCTGGAGAAATTATACATTTTTGAAATTGTGTTCTAAAAACCTCAAGATCAGTATATTTAAGTTGATTTTGCAATGATACGCCGCGGGGCGGCTCGTTTAAGTTAACTTTGCAATCAGCTGAGAGATAGAAATTAGGATGCGCATGCGCACTGTTCTAAAAACAAATTCAGAACATCTTGACTCAGAACATAAAAAGAGTCCTAGTTTTGTGTCCTGCTGCTCAGATGTTCTATATACCCATAACAAGTTTAGTACACACTCAAGCAGGTCAAGTCTAGTATACATGTCCTAAGTGTAAACGCGGTGCTTAACGTTTTAAAAAAACTATTTTGATATTTTTTTTTATGTTACTTTTGACAAAATGAATGCTATTTTCTCGCTTTTCATGAGTTCATAGTCGACAACAATGTTTAAAAGGTGTTTTCATTACAAATTTCACTTTTTCATATGTGCTAAGTGGTTACTCTTTCATCTTGCTTCGATACTGGTCGAGCAAAGATCAATTAACGAGGCCGAAATCAGTCACATTTTTATGATAGAGAAAGGGAGATTAATCAGCACAAATTTGTTAAGCCTTTTAGATATCTAGTTATGTACCCTTAATTATGCATTTATTATAAAGGAATTTTTAAACAGTACATAACATGAAAAAGTGGTTACAGTTTTACACTCTGATACCTGTTTAAAAAATGAACATGATAAAAAAAATACTGAGCTTGTACGTTTTATGGTGTAACATCTTTATTTATCAAGATATAAAAATATGTACATACACATTTCTATATAATTACTGTAGGTTTAAGAGTTTTCAGTTTCTTAATGCATATTCAAGTTTTAAAACCACATTTAATTTTATTGTAGTATTATTGTAAGACCTTGTAATTTAGCCATCTAAACAAACAAAATACTTATCAATTGCATATATGACACCTTACCAAACATAAATCTTTGATAATTTTTTAATAAACTGTTTTAAAATGTAGAAAGCTATCTTGGATATCCATCCCAAATCTCATAAACTCATTTCACGGCTGAGTAAAATTAACACATTCGGGTACCTGACCTAAATTGACGATATATCTTTATAAGTAGAGTATAAAGAAATTCGTAAAGGCTGGTCTGTAATGGGACGTAATTTTTACTTTCTGTTAACAGAGCTCTAAAGGCATATCAATGATGTATCTGATTGTATGGTACTTTTCATGGGATGTTTGTGCTGTAAGCTTACCATACAATCTCACTCTAAAAATACAAGTAACTAAATGGTATGCACATGCGGCATTAGAATTTAATTAAAAGTGTATATTACATTGTTAATTTTTGTCATATCAATGATGTATCTGTTTGTATGGTACTTTTCATGGGATGTTTGTGCTGTAAGCTTACCATACAATCTCACTCTAAAAATACAAGTAACTAAATGGTATGCACATGCGACATTAGGATTTCATGAAAGTATTTATTGCATTGTTAATTTTTGTCATTTGCACGCACCTGTATGTTGAAAAACAACATGTTAATGCAGCTTTAAACTTAAAGTTATAAAATTTTATTAAACCGAATTTCGATAAACGGAAGCGTATTTCCTAAATGTATCATAGACAGTTTAGTAAAATTTTATACTGACATATTCATAGTAAGGTAAACGACGTTTCCAAATTATATATTTACGGTTTTCTACATTTACAGTACTTTACATCATAAAAACCGCTTTATATTATTTAATTTCGAATTGGGAGCTTTTAAACACCAACCTCATACTAACTTGCCTATTTTGGTCAAATAATTTGACAAAATAAAATTATGTAGCATTGTTATTTGATCTAAGAAATATGCACGCCGTACTTTCTAGTAAGTTAAAAAGCGAAAACGTAATAGTGCAGCTGTAAATTTTCAGTACAAACGTGTTCTAACCTCATATTATAAAATATTTAGAACAAGAATTACACTATGTACTAGTAGGAATCTACATATACTATTTACATGTGTTAAATATATTTAGCTGTAAAATAAAAATAGTTTAGAGCATTGGTAAATTTTAAAATAATATATTCCCATATATGAAATAACCAAAAAACGATTCCGAATTGTGATGTATTTAATTTTTTATAACTACAGCTGAAAACACTATAAACACTATAACACCACAATGAAATGAATACATTTAACTTTTTTTATTGACTTTTAATAAAAACATTCCGTTATTGACTTGTGTAATATGCAAAATAAATTGTTTACTTACTCTTTTAGGTCAGTCAATTGACACATTTCCGCTAGATATTGTTAAAATAAATAGAACAAAATATGTATATAGAAATACAAAGTAAGGAGAATATTATTCTCACTTGACAATTCAAATACATTATTTCAATACCTCTGCTCGAACAGAAATAAAATTAGTGGACATTCAAAATGTTAAACAACAGAATGCTAAAATTGTAGATTGACTTTCAAAACAAATTTATAAAAGTTTGTTAAACAATAGTGAAATCCTTATCCTGAACTCTTTTTGTTGGGTTCTAACATGTGTGTCTTCAAAAATTATGGCCGTCGTAGTTTCATCTCAGCGTGGTCCAGAGCATCGGAATAGTTTGTTATAGTATACCAGTTTATTCCTTTACCCCAAGCTTTACTTGCCCACGCACCATTGTAAACAAACTTGAGTTTTAGTAGTATATACACAGCGTTAACTTTGACTAGTACTTTTCCGTCAATATCGTCTTCTAAAAATGCTAAAGACAATAATGTCTTGAGTGGTTGCTTGTATCTTTTGTACTTGGGTGTCTTGAAACACATCAACCTCTGGTTGTGTTGTTGTCGAAGTTAAAAAGCGTACAGCTTGAAAGCTATGTATCCAGTTTGAAACATTTTGATGATGTTTATTGGCGATCTGAAATGTCTTTCAATTTCTTCCTCTTCCACCCTGAATATTTCTTCTTTACTGGTTTTCTTTCCATTTAATAAACTCTTAACTAACGAATTGTTGTCTAAGTTGCACTATATTTAGTTCGATACTACAACGAATTTAAATGGTGCAAGTAACTTTGATAATTACTAACTATTCGAAACAAATTCAAACAATACAAGAGCTGAGCGTATAATTAACTGTGTGATCAGTGTTAGTTTAAGTAGAGTTGTTTTTTAATACAAAATTTAATATAGATCTAGATACAGTAAATTAAAATAATAATTAATATAAAGTTGATACTGTGTCATATAATTTGTAGTCGGAATCACTTTTGACCTTGTCAAAATGTTTCTATTTTAATTCTAAAAAAATAATTACACGATTCAAACGTTATATATAAAGTAATTATTTGTGAATATTGATGTATAATATTTTCTAATTCAATTATTCTTAAGCAAATACATTATACAATGGACTTAAACTTAAAACCCCTCTAGTCAATCGGTACCACCCGTAGAGGTTTTCAAAAAACATTGCAATGCATCACAATGGTTATTTTTAGAATGACAAAATCGATACAGCTGTTAATACGTGTTGTAAACGTTGACGCTAATAGTCAAGTACAATAATGCTGAATTGCTGCAAGAAAAGAAATCTTGTAAGAGATTTACATAGATGTGCCTACCAAAAATATTTTTTCAACAAATATCATCGTTTAAAACTGTGAGCTTAAAAAGTTTCCAAAAAAGGCGCCAGTTTGATGAAAATGGCCTGAGTGGGAGCGGCCGCTACCCCTGCTCCCCTATGCGTCTGTGTGTATGTGTGTGTTTTATATGTCTGTGAACTGGATAACTTTAGTACCTTTACAGCATGGTTGATGAAATTTCATATATACATATTTTATCAAATTTGTAGTTCTGTATCAACTTTTTATCGATTTCCTGTAACCAGACGTGGAACTTTTTCTATTTTCAATTTTTAAAAAGCCTATAACCAGAGAACTATTTTAGATAGATAAATGAAATTTCACCTGTTCGTAAAAGATCTGATTCTCTGCCGCCTTTTGCCACATTTTGAGTAATTTCCGAAGACCGGAAGTTGTACTTCTAAAAAAACGCATATGAATAAGTATACAACATCCATGCAGAAAATAAGAATGTAGTGTATGAAAAACAAATATTGTCGTAAAATATATAAGTGTGGGTATATTCAAAAACAAAAAGAAATCTATAGAAGCAAGATATGATACTGATCTATTCAAAAGAAAAAATTTAACTTCAAATCCATGTTTGTTCTTTGAAGATTATGCCTGACGTAATTTCATCTCAACGTATTCAAGAGATTCGTAACTGCCTGTTAAACTCTCCCAGTTAAGTCCTTCACCGTAAATAGTACCTTCCCAGACACCATTTACATTGACAAGATGGCAATAGTTATACCACCAGCCGCCTTTAAAAATCTGAGCACAGTTACGATTAGAATCCATATCATTTTCTCTGTCTATGGTGGAAAAAGCCATTGAATTCTGTGTTTCAAAGCTATTATCAACGTTGCTGATCTTGTATGTAAACTGTATCCTGTATAACTCTTTTTCATTTCCAACCGCCACATCACTGTACACGGCGTAGTAGGATTTACCTTTATATTTCATGTCAAATCTCAGTTCACTGTAGCCCTGTAAATACAAATAATTTTAAATTCTTACACATATATTTATGAGTTAGGTAATTCTACGATAGAAATTTAAGAGAAGGCAAATACATTGTTGCTGTAATTTAGAAATCAATGGTCGCCGTTTTGTAGTTTAATTTCTAATTTCTTTCTGTTACCCATCTCTATTACGTATAATTAAAACATTATTACAAACAGCATTGTTGCTCTATTGCATTGTACGGCATAATCGAATAAGATATAATGGCCTTGCATATATATTAGTAAGTAAATTGAACGCACGACTTTATCTTTTAATACAAATAAATCGTAACGAAATCCCTTTAGATTTAATCATTTAAGCAGTGTGTGTGAACATCGTTTATTTGAGCAGATGCTTTAACAACTCCCTTAACTACCCACCACCCCACCTTAAGTTATCACACACTAACAATAGATCTGAAACAATTTCGATCTCCTGTAATTAACAACCGGGTTTATATATTTGCCTATTATATATATATATATATATATATATATATATATATATATATATATATATATATACATATATATATATATATATATATATATATACATATATATACATATATATATATATGTATATATATATATATATATATATATATATATATATATATATATATATATATATATATATATATATATGTATAATTTTATTTTATATATTTGCCTATTCCTGCAACCCGGTGATATTTAATATTGTAGAAAGTCCAGGTAAGCACACATAAGTCAATGGAATAATTATGTATGGCCCACCATAATTCTCATGGTGTAGAGCAGGGGTCTCCAAACTTTTCAGCCTGAGGGCCGCATTAAATATTAAATAGTATTTCGGGGGCCAAATCAAAACATTGATGTTGTTTTTAATTAATTATTTAATACTATTTTATTCAGTTATTATATAATAACACATTGCTACACTACACATGAAAGCATGTCACTGTATTAATAGAATGGTGACATTATCATCGGACAAGTTTTATCTTAAATGGTTCTTCACGTATATCATTCTTAAAAGTTTGCTCCCATAGTTTGCTCAAAATATTGAAAGGAACCTTAATTCAAAAGTTTGGTAATAAGAGAGGTTTCCTTTGGCAAAAACTTGTAAAAACCAACCAGTCTTTCTTTGAAACTGCCACTAAGGAGGTCATTTGCAAGCAACTCAACGAGCTCCAGCTGCAGTTCATCTGGGCAACTGGCTACATTTGCTTCAAATGGGTTTTGAAACAGTCTCACTTCTCCTACCTTTGCATCCAAATCACACAAAAATTTCTGCTGAAACTGCAGTTAAAGGTCTTTGATGCAAATGACACGGGAAACTCAGCTGTTGCTTCAGGCATGAAGTCCTTGCACTGTTGAAAGTGAGCCAGTTGTTGGCTTGTACTTGTTCCAAAAACATGACAAGTTTGGATCATCTGAAAGCCTGTAGGTCGGTGTATAAATCAGAAACCAGATTTTTCCTTTCCTTGTAGTTTAAGGTTTAGAAAATTTCAATGACTAGTTATGTCTTCAACAAAGGCCAATTTACATACCCTCTTTCATTAGACATTAATGGCTGTGGCGTGCCTTTACTTTCCAGGAAGTCGCCTATTTCCTTTCGTTACTTAAATACTATGCCCAGAACTTTCCCACAACTTCCATCTTACTGCTGTGTAATATGGTCAATCTTGTGATTCTGTGACTGGATCTCTCAACTTTTCACTGAAATATCTATGGTTGAGCCCATGTGACCTTATTAAATTCACCATCTTCACCACAAAATTCAGTACACTGCTTTTGTTCACATATTTAGCACACAAAGCTTGCTGGTGAATAATACAGTGCAGGAACATTGGTTGTAGAATGTTTTTCTCATTACACATCAGCTTCGCTTGTCCAAACAAGCCTTTCTTTATGTCACTCATTTTCTTTCCTCTGATAACTGAGGTTAGTCCAGCCCAAGTTATAATCAGCAAATTGTTTTTTTCAACTCATTGAATATATCATCTCCAGTAACAATGCCAAACATGTTATGTAAGGAAGCCAGCTCTTGTGTTATATTCATGTCTCCATCCACACCCCAAATGAACACAATGCAGTTGAGAGGTTGAAAAGCTGTCCAGCGACTTATCCATTGCAATTGAAAAATGGCAAAAACGTGCTTGCATGTTTTGCTATTTGAGTCACAATGTTTTAACAAATTTCTGCAACACGGCGGGCAATTGTATTTGCACCCAAAGTTATTTTTTCAAATTGTATTGACGTTTCTGGGTAAAGTTCTTCAGGCACCTCCAACAAACTTTTAGCAATGATGTTTTGCGCTGTAATGGTCGTTTGGGAAGCATAACGCACTACTGTGCGCTTCTATTTTAATTCGGTAAAAACGTAACGTCCATGTAAGCGGCGGCTAATCTTTGCAGGATACACGTAAATTTCCATATTTTTTTCCTTAGACAACATTATTTCCACGGGCCGGATCAGAGGGTCTCGCGGGACGCACCTGGCCCTCGGGCCGTAGTTTGGAGACCCCTGGTGTAGAGTACCTTCAAAGTTCGGAGGAGGTTCAATCGAACAAGAAGTATCCTCCGGCGCCCCGGCAGGTTTGAGATTTGGCGTTTATAACACTTCTAATAATAAATAAAGCGTTAGTGATCTCCCCAAAATTTGTGAAAGATTCAAGATAATAAGATTTTATATCTATATATACAATTTTGCTCCACGTTATCGGTATTTTAGAAACGAGAAATAACGAAAAATACATTTCCAGTTATCAGAGGTCATTCAAAATTTGAGAAAAATCTAAGTATAATATCCATTATTTGGAGAGATGGACATGGAAGCAGTTTCCAAATTAAGTGAAACAAATAAAATGGCGATATACGGGGCACGTGCTAAGAATGAATGAAATGAATTCAGAAGAGATCGCAAGAATGGCGCTAGACTGGACGCCTCAAGGAAAAAGGAAGATATGGGGGACTGTCATAGGGGACTGGCAAGAAAATTGCCGGAGACCGACAAAAGTGCAGGGAGCTTTCTGTGGCGTCGCATGTCTTGGTCATAAAAAAGAAAAGATGATGGACGATGATAATAAGATCCAATGCTAATATATAGAATTTCTTCTACAGGAACTGAAACAGTAAAAGAAAAAGAGTTCACCCGGAAATAGAGTAAAGTAACACGTCAGTTTGATGAAAAGCATTTAAAAGATTATAGAATACTGCGCATACAAATTAATATATGAAATTTCGTCTACCTAGTTTTAACGGTTTTCTATTTATTGGTTTTTAAGAAACCAAAAGTTTAGTATGTACATTTTCCGGTAACTGAAAATCGCTCAAAAGTTGATATAGAACTACAAATTTGATATAATACTTATACTTGAAACTTCATCTAAGTAAACGAAACGGTACTTAAGCTATATTGTTTACAATCACAGACAGAATTATAAAACAGCAAAAACTGTCAGAATATCGTATAATTATTCAGCACAATTACAATATTTTCTCTATAATCTGTTTCCGAGAAAGTTAACAGATGAAGATATTTTCTTATCATCGTCTTTTTTTACAAGATCTTTTCAGAAATTGAGATTACGCGTCTGAAAAAAAACACTATTATTAAAGTGAACGAGTATATGTGTTGTGAAATGTTTTGTATAAATAAAAGATGGTGAGTTTATAACGCAGTTAGAAAGAATGTGAATTTTTAGTGTGGTATCATTGTTGCTGGGGATGAAGATTAGTGAGAAGATACAACATCTACTATAATCGTTCACTAAATCGACCGTGTGGTCCTCCGGCGCCTTAGGATGTGTGCATTTAATTCATCTTGTAATCTAACGTTTAAATTAACTTAAAGTGCAAAGAACAAAAACAAGCTACATTTTTTTATCCTTCTCAAAAATAGTAACTTATTCTGAAAAAAAAACTAACTTCTTCCCTTTAGATGTAATAAAGATTGAAATTACATTAGAAATAAAGCGGGAGTGATCTCCTCTAAAGTTTTTTTAATATGCTCATAAAACACTACAAGGAATGGCAACTTCAGTGTAATCGGGATATGGACATGAGGCGGAACTACCATGTTGCCATCCTTGACTTATTCCCCTTCTTTAAATAGTCTAATAGGGGTGCCTATTAAGCTCCTTTAAAAGTTTTGTATAAGTAAATTAAAAAACAATTGCTTCTCTTAATTATTATTATTATGAACAGCAATATTGTTTGTAATATAGATATTAATTTGAAACTTAATATATCCCCCCCCCCCCCCCCCCCCATAAAAAAAACCCCGAAATAACGCGGCAATATAATACTTAGTATTACGGTGATAATAAAAATAAAACTCGAAATTTTTCTTGAAGATATCTATCTATCTATCTATCTATCTATATACTACTAAAAGTCAAGTTTGTTTACATGTTTGAATATTTATTTGTTTGCCTGATCGAAAATTGTGATATGTTCGACTCTATCTGGAAAGCTGTAAAATGGTATGCAGGTAGAGAATAATTTTTTAATGCAGACAGACTGTTGATCACAAATTTATTTAAAGACGTTAATTAATTTATTGATTTATTCCTACGCAGAATAACCCATTTTTTTTTAAAATGTTAAAACCTTGACTAAACTTTGTGGGAATAGTGACGTCACAGGTTTTTGTTTACTCTTTAGTACAATAAAATGGCGGCGTCTATTGAAGAAAATTGTGTTCCCATTCAAAAGTTTAACGCGTTCTAAATCTAATTTTCTGTCGGTCATAACTTTAACAATACGTCCGTTTGCTGTATTTATTACGTCCCAACACTTATATCAATTTTAAACTGTCTTTTTTCATTTAGTTTTTCAATAAATTTCTCTAGATCTAAAGATCAGCTGTCGAAGGAAAGTTATTTATAGATCTAGATCTAGAATCTAGGTCAAATCAAATCTAATTTTCTGTCGGTCATAACTTTAACAATACGTCCGTTTGCTGTATTTATTACGTTCCAACACTTATATCAATTTTCAACTGTCTTTTTCATTTAGTTTTACGATAAATTTCTCTAGATCTACAATCTGTCCAAGAAAGTTATTTATTTATTTATAGATCTAGATCTAGAATCTAGGTCAAATCAAATATTTATTGATTATAAATACAATCCAAAAAAAAAGAGACTTAAGCAAACCAGTCGTAGATCTAGAATATAGATAATTCTATTCTATCTAGATTTAGATAATAGTGATTTTCTATATACTAAACTATTTTAGACCTTTATTATTTTATATAAATCTTTGTTTGGAATATGGTAATTTTGAAATGCTCGCTCCGGGCCCATCAGCGTAGCTAATGATTAGATCTAGATCTAGATTCTAGATCTAGCAAGAAAAACTAAACTTAAGACTTAAGCAAACGAGTCGTAGAATCTAGATCTAGATAATTCTATCTAGATCTAGATAATTTCAGACCTTCTTTATTTTATATAAATCTTTGTTTGTATAGCTATGAAATATGCTAATTAGGAAATGCTCGCTCCATGGCCTCTATTTGCATAATTTAAGATTTATACGCGGCTTCTATACTGCTAATTTTGCAAAATTATGAACGTAAACTCTAGATATAGCTCAGTCGTAGATCTAGAATATAGATAATTCTATCTAGATTTAGATAATAATAAGTTTCTATGGAATTGGCTAATTTAAGATAAAATTTAATTTGAAAGTTAGTACTACTATACCTAGATCTAGAATCTATGCGCTTAAATCAAGTTGCATAAGTATAGTATAAAAATTCACTTGTGACGTCACGTGTAAATAGCTAAGTTGGTAGCGTAGCCCGCTCTCATGTGGGTGGCACAGGTTCTAGACCAATATGTCAATGATATATTTTTTTTTTTTAGATGTGAATGATAAAGTTGCCTATCTGAACTTGGAAGGATACAAGGCAGGTGAAGTAGAGTTCATCTGTTTCTTTGTCCTAAGCATATGAAAGGATAGTGTGGTCAGAGACATGCTCGGCTGGAATCGTTTTTTAAACGATAAAAACATGTTGTCTGAGACTTGGCGGGACACTGGGCAGGTGAAGTAGAGTTGAGTAGGTCACATGTGACGTCAGTATATGAAGGGATAGTCCGAAATCGGTGTTTTCGGTGTTTTTAAAAGATAAGAAACATATTTTTGAATGTGGGATCTGTTTTTTGTGACGATAAGTGACACTGCAGTAGCGTAGCGAGGAGGGGGGGGGGGGGGGGCGGGAGGGGGAGGGGAGGCGGGGGGGGGGGGAGGGGAGGTGGAGGGGGAAGGGGGGGCGCGTGGGGGGACATATGTTGGGGCGCCAAAATGGTTTGGAAAAATAAATTGAAAGGTTGAGGGGGGGTGCAAATCGAAAGTTTGAATGGGGGGGTGCACATCAAAAGTTTGAGGGGGGGGGGGGTGCAAATCGAAATCTTGCGGGGGGGGGGGGGGGGGGTTCAAATCGAAAAGTTTGTCCCCGGGCGCCGGGAAGGGTCGCTATGCCTCTGAGTGACAGACGTGATGTTTTTTGATGGATGACCCCCGAAACCCACAGTTATCCAACGGATGACGGGTAGTCTAGTTTGTATTTAAAAATGTGCATGGAAATTGGTATAAAAATTACCTAGCATTTTATCAACTGGGTACCTAAGATTTTTTAAATGTCACGTTTATTAAACTAAACAACTTAGCTTTGGGCTTCTAGATGTGTAAATTTATTAAAGGTGCAGCTAAATACAAGACAGATATTTAAACAAAAAAGAGAATTTTCTTTAAGTCAAATTAACGATTTATCATTTTGTTTCATTCTCAGTAGTATGAATCTGAAAATATGTGTGTAGTAATTAACTTAAATTTCGGGTTCAATATTTATGTTTATTTATTTCTGCATTTATGTTTGTTATTTGGTATAATGTATAGAAATCTGAGCAAGATACAAACCTTGTTGTTTGTACGTATCTGTTTTGCTTTACCTCAAAATTCCGTTTAAACATGGTGTATTCGATTCACCAGTTCTTATAATTTGGTAAATGTATATTGCACAATTTAAAAACAATATATATATATGTTAATTTTGTTTACTTATCAATAAACAAAGTTTTTAATACCCAGTAGCGCTCGATATAAATGTTTTTCGGCCTAACAGTTACCCGCACCTTGGTTGTAATGATTTGCTAAGGTAAGGTACTATTTTTTTTAAAGAAAGTTCAAACATTAACTTGCATTTTGTGTGAGGTATGAGATCCAGTCATTTCCCAACCAATAATCTCCAGCCAAAGATCCAAAACCGTTTTTGTAGTCGCTCCAGTTTCTGGTAAAATTTACATCACCTTTAACACGCCTCTATAAGAATAAAAAATTGTAGCATCTCTGCCAGTAAATGGTAATAAATACCCTAATTTATCAATATACACAGCATAGTCATTTTTAATCTGTTATGGATTTTTCTGTTAACTATTTGGAACTTAAAATTTAAAAAAAAATGTTTGGGGGAATAAAACAAATAAGTAGTCTAAAAGTGGAATGTGAACATTTGTATTTTAATTAAATCTTGTAAGAAACAAATATTGTTAAGAAAATCACTATAAACATTTATATGAATTTAAAAAATAGAAATCTTACCTGTATAATGACCCATCCTCCCCCATCTGTTTTGGTATCACACAAGGCAATTTTAGTTTCATTTAAGTTAGTAATAATTCGGTCAGGTAGACTTGGGCGATAGCTACGGACACACTGGGTAGAAGATGATTAATGAAAGTTATTAAAAGAAAACAGGAAAATACAATGCCATTTTAAAAATTATAATTAATTCTCATTTGTTTCCGTTTCCCTCTATTATTCATTTTCAATTATGTACACTGACTGCTAAATAAAGGATGTTTTATCAAAGGTGATATTCATTGAACCTTTTGAAGTCCGATTATAATTACTTTCATTCTCTTAAACATTTTAGAACGTTAGGTTTGTTGGCATTTCGGTATTGAACTAATGACGTTATATTAAACGCTAGTTTTACTTGATGTACCAAACCGACTAATGAAAATACATCTTTTCTAATGCTACGAAAGTCATGTAATATTTAGGTCGTCACTCCCCGTAGATTAAAACATCCAACTAAAATTGAGCATTATTTCGCAAAAGCTATAAGAGTCCTATTATTACTAAACATTTGTATTCCAAGTAGGATAAAACACTTTTTTAAAAATAAATAGTCCAGATAAACAATTGATATTTATCAATATTTTAAATAATTTAAGGATGGTTAAAAATGTCAAAATAAAAATATAAAATGTATCATACCATATGATTGTATTCGTCTAAAAATGTGTGCATTGTCTTGTTGATATCGTACATCATGTTCAAAGTTGTATTAAAATCCTCCCGTGTTTCAGTTTTCTTTAGCTTTTCTTCCATCTGAGCAAATTTTAAATTCCATTGTTCTATTTGTTTTTGTGTGCCTGCGGTGATTGTTTGAACGGATTTATTTAAAGAGGTCAACGTTTCCTGGTCTAATTTGTGTGTCTCGATATAAGACGAAATTCTTTTATCAATTTCTTTCTCTACTTTCGTTGCAATTTTATGTTCCATGTGTTGTAACGTTTCGTTAAAATTCAATGTTAGATTTCCTATTTTATAATCTAACATGCCCTGAGAGTTTCCTTTATCCAGTTTTTGTGTCTCAATATAAGGCAAAATTATTTTATTAACTTCTTTCTCCATTGCAGTTGTGATTTTATTTTCCATTTGATGTAATGTTTCGTTAAAATCCGCTGTTAAATTCTTTATCTTATCATCCATTATGTCCTCAATTTTAGAAGAACTGATCTGTTTGAAAATGTGATTTAACTCTGTATGTGTTGGACCAAAACTTTTGTCTGTGCTGAACTTATCGCCACCAGAATGTGACATCTGTAATGACATTGTCATGTCTGCACCTTTCAGTCTGTCTGGGTCTTCAAACGATTTGAGAAAATCGGCCATTGTGTCAACAGATTTAACATAGTCAGACGTTTTAGCTTTCAAGTTCATTATTATAAAAGATTCACGTGATTTTCTTTGCAAACTGTTCGTCTCTTTCCCAATTCTATCAACTGATCTTGTGGTATTCACATAATGAAATTCACAAAGGAAAACGCCATCATTGCAGTCTGAATGATTCGAGAAAAAAATATTCAATTCAGAAAATGTTTTCGATATTTTCCCATCTACTCTTGTTCCAGCCCTTTTATAATCTTGAAGCTTTGAATCTGATTCCGAAATAGACGCCAACAAAATCTTCCCCTCTGGTTCACTGATCCTATAGACTGACATGTTGACAAGAGCTGATATCTGAGTGTCTTCTCTTATGTTTTCTGTACACTGGAGTTGTCCGCAAAATAAATCCTTGCCATGGTAAAAATATTCTCTGCTCATGTCAATTTTTAGACCTACAATTAGAGAAGCTTTCTTAAAATAAAATAAAAAATATAGTGTTTAAATTTATCAGATTTTTAGATGCCTTAAATGTCTTTCTACAATATCGACTAATATATTCTAAAAAAATATTATAGCTATGGAGTCTAAATGTTTCTAATCTACTATGGTAATATTTATTTTAACAATCGTTTAACAATTGTTTAAAGGGCTGATTATTAAAATATATAAACTTACTTTATTAGGTATGGGCACACATTACATTCATAAATATTGTCCATATTTTACACAAAACCAATGCTGCTTTATTTAACTTGCTTTTGTCGTCCAAAATGCTTTGTCCGTGTGTAATGAGTTAAAACTTAGAATTAAATTTTCCCACTTCTTAAAAAACATTTCTTTATAGCAGCCTGCTTGTTTTTGCCATTCGAATTTCTTAATATTAAAAAGTGAAAAACGCAAAAAAAATTCTAAAAATGTTTATAATAAAAAAAAGATAAAATTATCTTCCTAAAAATAGTAATTGATCATTATTTATATAGCTTAAGAATAATGGCTGGGTTAATAAAAGTTTGGTAAAATAATTCAGTTGCAAAGAAATATAAATAATTAAAGCAATTTTTAAAAATGTATACATATTAGGCTACATTACTCTTTATTTCTATTTAGGCATACTTAATTACATTTTCCATCTTTTCCATAATTTTCCATAAAAATGTATCGATCTCAAGTAATAAATAAATGTTTAATTCTATCATTGCTGCTTGTTAAGAATTCAATATACTATTTGAAATATTTAAAATATTTGATAATTTATATATTGAAATAATACAGTTGTCACTAGAGGATTCAAATATGACATTGATTTAGAACTCAAGATTCATTTTTTTTTTATTCTTCACCAATATTTTTAGAGAAAAACATCTGTTTAATTCCAAGTATTGACATTAAATTTAAACCGCCGTTGATTTATGCAAATAATTGTTTTACATTTATCAGCTAAAAGGAAACATTCAGGAAGGAGTTTAACATTATACATCATATTTGATCTAAATGAAAGTTATTTATTTTTTAAAAATGTGTAAACTTTTTTTCAAAATCATCCACATACTTGTTTTGAAGACTTATGTTAAACTTTTTCAGTATGTTAGAATGCTTGAATGATTGAAGCGGAAAAACAATGTTTTAAAATCTCACCATTGATTGAAATGAAAGTTGTTGCAATCAATAGATTGCACAAAACTGCAAACATTTTTTTTTAAATTTACACACAAATGTTATGTTCAAGCTTCTTCAACTGAACTGCTCTCTCTATCCTGAATTTGACAAATCGGATCCCTGCCGTTTAAATAGCTGTAAGATGCATTCTTTGACCTTAACCTAGTATTTAGAGCAAATTGAAAGAAAAAATATTTTTGAGAAAAAAACGTAAGTCTTACATTTTTTTTCCTGCTCTATGATAGTTTTTAAAATATTAACATTAAACATCATAACCCTTTCTAATTTTATTCCTATTACTTAGTAACCATTTACTATACATTAAATGTTCATAAAATGGGTGTTACTTTAATGTTTATATATGTATAACAAGTAAAGATAAAAGACAAGTAAAGTTTACTATTTTAAAGGAATAAAATACTTTCTTTGCTGTTTCTATTCTGTTAAATAGTGAAAATGTCAATTTAAAAAAAAAGTCCCAAGTAAATGTGATGTGTTTATTACCGTAAAACTGTTGAAATTAGAATGTTTAATTGGGACGATGGGTGAGATTGTAGGAAGGAGGGGGAGGGAAACTGATGTAATGTAAGAAATACATCGTTGTGTAGGTGAAGGATGTAGCGTGTTTGACTGCTAACTTTAAAGTCTTGAGCACGGTTCAAAACCCTGGACAAACTAGTCTCATTAGCTATGCAGGGGAGACTAAATCGTAGTTTAAAACTCCTTGCAGATGCTATTGGGTAAAAAAGGAAATATGATCGAAGGCTACAAAAACACAGAAAGAAAGGCGAAATTAAATCGAGTCAAGGTGTCAAATGGTGCATAATCTTTGGCACTGTTATCTTAACTATGTCTAGGGAAATAAAATTGAGTTTCTTCTTCTCTTTTCGTTCTTAATTGTAAAGTAGGACGGAATTACCTCCAACACAATTAAATATTATGTGTCAATATGTTATGCCCCTTATGGCATATATGGCTCGTTGACTCCGATTTCAGCCTGCTTTTATTTCTGCATTTGCTTCCATAGTCTTTGTCCATCCAATAAGAAGCTACAATGCTACGGATGATTAGTTTTGAGTTTTCTCTCCTAAATGGGTTGCTGTCCCCAGCTAGCGGGCCTTTTTGCTCAGGAGTTGAACTCATTATTCTTGATAACTATAAGCCTTATCGACCGGACTGCGCCGATGTTAAGGCTAAGAACAAAGAAGAAAAAAAAAATTAATAGGTGAACGAGAGCCTAGTAAGTGGTTAGGAATTCACAGAGGTAAAACTGATGCGGCGATAGTAAAGGTGCTGAATTTAAGTTGCTAGATCTTGGCCGGTTTTGTTGAGTTATTTCTGAATATTATTTTAAAATTAAACGGGAACATTCTTTACGAAACTCAACGTCGTTTCTGATTCAACTGAATGGTGTGTTTTACCGTCTACTTACCGTTTCTGTGTTTAATAATACAGCCAATAAAAGTAAAGTCCTTTAAAACAATATTTAACAAAAAAAGCAATTGTTATGATTAAGAATTTTAGAAGGTTTACAGTTCAGAATAGAAAAGACTAGGCGAAGACTGACCTTGACTAGAGCGGAAGAAAATCGACGCAGTGTCTGAGAAACTAGCACAACTTTGTTGTTGATGTAAGCATTAAACTGTGAACTCTGGAATATAATCGTCTCTAGGCCAACATTCATATCGTATTACCAAGGTCGACAGTTCTGTACCGGTATTTTTAAACAATTTAAAATTGTTAAAATATTTTTAAAGACGTTTATAAAAAATCATGTGTGTGTAACATCTATCCATGCTTACTTTTTCTGCGAGTTTTTTTTAAAAATATTTTTTAACTTACCTTCTTATGATATTTAGGGTCAGTGTGACCCTAAAAAAAGTAGGTTGCTTCGTTCCTGGGACAAACAGTTCTCACATAAAGAATGACCTTGGATTGTAAACAGTTTACCCGGTCTATTAAAATTTTGCAATTTTTTTGTTTGTTTTTATTTCTTTAAAAAAAAACGCTGTGCACCATGAAACGCAATTCCCACGCATATGGTAATACCAAGGTCGAAAAACAAAATTTGAGTTAATCTTTTTCTACTATCTAACGATTTATTTTATTTTGTATTTAAACGTGGGAAACATTTTAAAACGCTTTCCCAAACACGTTAAAGCGAGTTTACTGCGAATATCAAATTAAATAAAAATAAAATATTGTTGATATATTTTCCGTAAAAATGAACAAAAATTTAGGTTCATATGGTGTAGTTACTAGTTATCACAAATATATATAATCTGTGTAAATTTTAATAAAGCATTGATTAAATCATTTGATAAAAAAGTATTTTACTATTTAAAATTATTTTAATTTACAGGTTAATATTAATTTAAAGGTTAAACATTATGTGCACAAAATTTGAACTAATATAAGTATAATTGTTTTTAAAGACTACTTGTATAAGTTAAAAAAGTTTTTCATTAAATAACATAATACGTTAATATATAGTAATTATAACTTCATGTAAAATAAGAAGTTATAAAAAGCAAAACAGCGAGCAGTGAACAACAAAAAAGTTCAAACCATCTGTTAACTATGCATTTATATAAACTAATTTTTAATAAAATTAAATCATATTTTGAGAGTTGGTTTTTTTAAACCACGTATGTGTATGTGTATGTGTATGTGTATGTGTATGTGTATGTGTATGTGTATGTGTATGTGTATGTGTATGTGTATGTGTATGTGTATGTGTATGTGTATGTGTATGTGTATGTGTATGTGTATGTGTATGTGTATGTGTATGTGTATGTGTATGTGTATGTGTATGTGTATGTGTATGTGTATGTGTATGTGTATGTGTATGTGTATGTGTATGTGTATGTGTATGTGTATGTGTATGTGTATGTGTATGTGTATGTGTATGTGTATGTGTATGTGTATGTGTATGTGTATGTGTATGTGTATGTGTATGTGTATGTGTATGTGTATGTGTATGTGTATGTGTATGTGTATGTGTATGTGTATGTGTATGTGTATGTGTATGTGTATGTGTATGTGTATGTGTATGTGTATGTGTATGTGTATGTGTATGTGTATGTGTATGTGTATGTGTATGTGTATGTGTATGTGTATGTGTATGTGTATGTGTATGTGTATGTGTATGTGTATATGTGTGTGTGTGTGTGTGTGTGTATGTATATGGGTATGTGCGTGTGAGTGTGCATGTGTTTGTGTTTCAGATAACCCTGAAAGAAAATCTGCTGCTGATCGTGTCAGCCGCAGACATTTAGAACGAATAGTAACATATATATATATATATATATATATATATATATATATATATATATATATATATATATATATATATTTACGGCGTATAACCATCCATAGCAATATAAATAATATTGTGAGAGCCTCTGAACATAAAGGTGTGTAGCCATCCACATCAGCATAAACTAACATTGTGAGAGCCGCTGACATATAGAGTGTAAACCATCCACATCCGACAACTAATACATAAAGATCCGCTGGACTTTAGTATGTTGAACCAACGACATCAAGACAAAAAATATACTGGTGTCAGCATAAAAGTTCGTAAAGTAAACTCGCTCAACAGTGCACGTGAGTGGCACGCAGCGCGTGAGAGGAAGAGCTGGTTTGTGGGTGAACAGCTTTTTTTAAAACCCTCTTCGCCCGGCTTACTTTGTTCTAAACGTGCGAACTCTCCAACACGCAACAAACACTGTCAGGTTATTATTGGATAGATGCACATAAATTAAATGAAACAAAATTAATAACATACTTAAATTGTGTTAGCAGTCCAAAATACATAATTTCTTAATCCTTAGTTCAAAGCAAATATAAGTGTTACATTACTAGTTTCTGTAAGAACAAACACGTCTATGAGTTATCTTTAGTATTTTATTCTTGCTTATGTCAGATAACCTCAGGGGACAAGCCTAGTCTCCCGCTACATCTTACACACTAAACACTGAGTATCTAAGGGACGTAACTACAATATACATAATCCAAGGGACATAAAGATAACTAACAAGACAATAAATATTGTTAGACACTGTTCATTATAGTTATTTTTAATGATTTAAAAATTATATTCGTACTTTTTAAAAATAAAATTCTATATCTGAAAGAACATTAGCTTTTTACTCTTCATTTTCACATAGCTGCTTTTAATAATATCAAAGTATATATATATATATATATATATATATATATATATATATATATATATATATATATATATATATATATATATATATATATATATATATATATATATATATATATTTGTATTAAGTTTTAAAAAAATAGTTTGATAAATGAATTAATCTTTATTTTAAAAGAATGATTTGATTAAAGTTCCCATTAGTTAGGTATGCTAACACGAGTATATTGCTGTTCTATTTACCCAAATTTGAGGCATAACAAGAATGGAAATGGTCCAGCTTTATTGTAAAACATTTTTTTTTAAATTGCTATTGTAAACGCTTTCATTAATTTACATACTTAAAAAAAATGGTTAAAAACACATTGCTGCTTATAAAATAAAAACACAATATTCGGTAAATATAAAAAGATTTGTTTCTATAACGTCCAAAACTAATATTTCCTAATATGGTGTGTGGTTAATTCTAGTCTAAAGAAAGTAAAACGGCATTGCTTTTACGTTTTTTTTAAAAAAATATCTTAACGCTTTTTAACGTGCGTATATCCACATTAATGGTCTCTTTTTTGACGATTATTATACCATTACGTTTGGTGAAAGCTACAAAATACTACACAAAGCAACTTGAATTATATTTTCAATGAATAAAATCTTCTTGTTAAGACTACTACAGATACTTGAGCAGTGCATGTTTATAGGTGTCCACATGGCGTTGACAGTTGTTTATATCTGGTTAGATAAACAAGTGTTGGATTTGTTGATGGTCTCGCTAGAGTTACATATACGAATTTAAAAAACTATTATCATTAAAAAATGCTTTAATAACATTAGCTAGATTTTATATAATTATGCACTAAAAAGTAGAAAATAAATGATTCACTTGAAATATATAATAATACACTACTATTTAAATAACTGTA